CTCGCCTGATATAGACTGTGGCTATGAGTCTGTCATTGGTTGGCTGATTTCGCCCGGCATTCTCTCTTCCTTTTGCTATCTGTGTGTTACTGTTTCCAAATCCCCTTTACTATGGCAAATAACAGCAACAACCTCCAAGCTAACAACTTACATACTGAAAGTAGCACATAGGTGTCATTGTCTGGGTAGGTCAAGTGAGTCATCAGTTGATTCATAATCAACCAATAGCACAGCGACACACCTTCTCTGTCAGCCTATCATCTTACTGCTCCTCATTTTAAATATGGTTCTAGCTTTGCTGTATTTCTTACTTGCTGCCATCATGCGTGCCCTTCACTTCCCCATCATCACCTAGTCTTTATGGATTCATCAGCCTCATCCGCCTCAGCAGTCAGCAGCCTCAGAGTCATCAGCCACCACCACCACCAGTGTCTGGACTCCATGGGGGGATTTATCCTGCTGCCCTCAGATGTCTCTCGATCACAAAATATCTCCCTATGGTGTCCAAGCACCACACACTTCTGTTAAATCTTAATCAGCACAAATCATCTCTCAATCTGTTCACTCATAGTCTGTATTATGGTGGGCACTGGTGGAGGTGCGGCAGGCCTTTGGGCCAAGCAGGGTATACCAGCTACCTGTTTTCATTAATTATTAAATATTATCTTTACTTCATTGTTAAAGTTTATCATGATGTTTTCCTTTTTAATGACAGTACTTGCCTCCCCACATGCAATTGTTCCACCACAATAAGTTCACCCAGACACTGTTTTGTAGGACACTGTTACTGCATCCTGGGATTAGTGCCCAGGATGACTGTGATTGGCTTAAATAAACACAAACAAGTGTTTTTTTCCCTCTTAGCAGAGAGGCATTCTGTGATTCCAGACCTAGATGTGTTAATGACAACGGAACATTGTTTGCACAGGCAGTTTTACACTTGAAATACAAATAAGTACAACATAGAAGAGAGACGCTAATACATGGTTATAATAATACAGTTTGTCTTCAATCCTATTTATGCTGTGATCAATCTCCAAAATGAAAACGTAGTATCTTTAGTATGTACAGGAAGGCACTCCAAAAATATAGACAAGGAAGGAAATATGAAAAAGCCTTTATTGTAGTGGCTAGATCATTAAAAGAACCAATGACTTTAAAAACATACAAGAAAGTTATGACCCTATCTATATAGTGGCAGGAACCAATAGGAGGCCATCACATGACCCAGAAAATGACATGCAGGTTAGACAAATAAAAAATAACAAATAATAAAACACCATGGTACCTCCTTAAACACTCTGTAGGGGAAATACCTCTTTGAGAATATTTGCACTCGTAATAAAATTTTGGGGCACCACCCTCCTAATGAGGGAAGCGACTAATCAAATTAATAACTCCATAAGTCACTTATTAATTCTTCAGCACGCTTATCAATAATGAATCAATCTCAATATCTGGGTTATGAATTCTCTATACAGTGATCTCAGCTGCTGTCCAAAAGATATATACACAGACAACGACTTGGCGATAAATTAAGATTTATTTAAGCTAAATATGCAACAACTGAACAAATGAATAGCAAATGATAATTATATGACACAACACAAAATCAACAGTATATAAATGGAATGAACTGAGAAGTAACACTCGTGTGAGTTATTTAGTTTGGTGATAGTGGGACAGTAGAGTATGTTAAGATATATTATAAATTGGGAACGCAGGGATGCGCAAAACCATTCACCTATGAAACCTAAATTAAAATCAGCATAATTAACTAAGCCTCCTGCTCGACCTCACTCTTCACCACACAGCGGCTCACTCAAGTTATGGAAGTTCTTTGCCTACTTTTTAGCAGCGGGGATCAAAGGCAAAGCTCCTCTTGGGGCCCCGGACTGTTGCTTCGCAGCTCCTGGACTTTCCAGCAGAACGGAACAGGCTGTCTCACAGCAGTGTGGGAGCGGTTGAGTCTGCAATGTCCCGTGGGTACTCCAGGTTAGTTGCCTTGCGCTGCAGAAAGCTTCTGGGCTTGGCACGAGAACCACTGTGGCAAGTGGCTGGCAGCCGCTGGTTCCGATGAATCTGGGGCGAAGAGGTTGGTCAGCAGGTGTTGGTTTACTTTGTTCTGACTTCTCGCTTATAATAATGGTGAGAACAATATCGTTGGCTGTTCAATATTGTTGTCAAAGTTATTATTAATGCCCAAAAATTTTAAAAACACTGGAGATAAAAGAAAACTTGAGTTCAAAATTGTTCAAAATAACTCATTGTGAGTTACGTACGTAACTCTTACAAAAGAGTTACGTATGAGCTAAATGAAGTAAAAACGAAAGAGCGTACGCAAACATAAAAGCAAGAGACTAAAAAAATGAAAAAGAGCGCAACACGGGAGTAGGCCTATACAAAAAGCGGAAATTACAAAAGGATGGAAAATACAAGAAAATAACAAGAGTAACAAGAGGAATAAAACAAGAGTGCACAAGAGAGACAAGTGAAACAAAACAAGTGTAAGAGAGTGAGCTGTGCCGAGTGCACTCGTATTTATCTGTCCAAAGTGGGCGGATTTGATAAGGCGGCCTCTCTCTATTTAAAAAAATAGTCTCATCGTGTTATTTTGGAGGAAACTTAATGCCTTTCTTATACGAGGTCGTATACTTTGATATGTTACGCGCTTTGGACACATACTCTTCCCATTATGGTCAAAACTGATTCTTAACATCCAATTAAACAATTTACAAATAAAGATTAAATCAAAATACAATTGTTATGCCATGGTATCAACTAGGTTACTTCAAATACACTCAAATACTTCCTTACAGGAACTCTTCTTAACTCCGCTACAAGATGGCAGTCTGGCTCCATGTTAGACGAGGGGTTAACAGTTAAAATTGAAATTGAATTCGGCAACTTATCAATCTTTTGTTTTACAAGGTTAAAACAAAGTATCATTCAGATAGAAACATGATTATGCACGTGTACAAGTTTAGGACATAACAAAGCAACCAACAAAGAGGAACAAAATGAATAATCTCACTTCCAACATACATTTCAATTTTGTCACACAGAAACATTTGGTAAGAGAGGGGATGGCGTGGTCCCCTGGGGTGACAGGAAGGGACAGGATGTCGTGGAGAAAGGAAGCATTGTCTTAAGATCCTAGCAGGGCTGTTAATCAAGGCGTTGCCTCAGGGCGGAGGAGGGGACTTAATGACTTTAAAAGCATTTGAAGCACCTCAAATGAACTCTCTAATGTGATGTAAATTAATAATTTCTCATGAATTTATATCAATTATATGAATAATCAGGGCATCCTGGTGACCTATGTTAAGGCACCGACCATGAACTGCATCACCTTTGGTTCACACCTGGCCCAAGAAATAAAAAAATATATTTTTATCTGAAAAATATTTCAGTGTAATTATCAAACAATGGGATTCATTTTTTGCAGCCATCCAGTCAGTCTCCACCAGTTCTCTAAAATGTTAGAAAAACTGTTTATTAGGAGGTTGGATGATTTCATTGAAAAGTATCATTTACTCTCAGACAGTCAATATGGGTTGAGAGCAAATAGATCGACATCAATGGCATTAATGATGATAATGATTTTGGGCTATAATAATAAACTTTGACTTCACACAGGCAGCAGTCTGTGCAAATAGGTGACTACACATCATCATGCCTAGATATAACTGTTGGGGTCCCACAGGGGTCAGTATTAGGCCCTGTTTATTTTGTACATAAATGATATATGTGTGGTGCTCTTTGTTCTGGGGAAAATCTGCGGCAGCATTTGGAGGAGGTCATGACAGAAATGAGTAAATCAAAAACAATGGTTTAGCATAAATAAATTGTCTTATATTTGAACAAAATTTAATTCATGCTGTTTGGAAACCACAGCACACACAAGTACAGATGAGGATTGGTAATGTTAATGTGGAAAGAGTCTATTAAACTAAACTAAACCTCTGTGTGTGATTTTAGATGACAAAATCTGGACCTCAGACCAATTATGTAAGAACAAAACTGACAAAGACCATTGCAGTTCTGGGGAAAACAAAACTCACACTGGACCATGAATCACTGCACATTCAGTATTCATCACTTGTACTACCTTATTTGAGTTACTGTGTGGAAGATTGGGGCAACACTTGCAAAAGCAACTTACAACCATTACACATCCTTCAGAAGAGAGCAATTAGGACAGTATAATTCACTTCCAGGCAACATTCAAAAAATGTATTGTGACAGAGAGGGGGGTCATAATTTAAGAGGAGAAAACAAAACTTTTTGGACACTGTTATCTTTGTCGTTTTTGTTTTTTATTATGTTTTTTTATGTTTGGCTTGAAATAAAGTCATTCATTCATACATTCATTCATTCTCCAAACATTTAAAGACTGATTACATTTATGACATCCATTAAAATTATTGAATCCACTGAGTCATAAGAATACCTCCAAAACATATAGGATATATGGTATGATTACCATACAATTATTTTAATCATTCAGTCATAGGAGGAAAGTTCCCTGCTGTCGAAACTCCAAAAATCCCTGCCAGATGTTCTGCCTGGAAATTACTCAACATGGTTTTGATCTGACTAGCTGTCTGTGTGCATGATCAATATGTTTGATTATGTGTGTGTATAATATAAGAGTGGGGCTCAAAATAAGAACTAAAAGTGACTCAAAATGACAAAAAGAAAACAAAAACATGACAAAAAAAACATGATAAATGCAGGATAATAATTTTGCAGGCAACAGTTCATTCATCTGTATGCTTTGAAGTCAGTCAAACATGTCAGCTCTCATTGATCTTCTACTGTTTATTTTTTCCTCAGAGGAGATAATGTTTATCAGAAACACACAGTTTCTCAACTGCTGCTGGGAAATGATGTGTACCTGTGTTTGTGTGCGCTACGTGTGCACAGAAACCTTTTGGGAGGAGGACAGATGAGACAGCAGTGAGGTGAAGTGGGGGGGTGAGTGGATAAAAGAAGGGTGCTGCAGATCGACACTCTACATTGACGGCAGATCAGGGTCAGGTTGGAGGATGAGAAGGACTCTACTGTGGCTGACGGCCTCTCTGGCCTTTGTCTCTCTAACTTCTCTGGCTGATGGAGCTCCATTGTAAGTAGACCTGCTTTACCTCTACATACCCCCGTGACTGAATTAAAGCAAGGAATACAGAGCCAAAATATACAGTTTGCTTTGTTGTTCATCTTCTTGATATTGATATTGTTACTAGTTAAACTATAATGGGAGCAAGAACAATATCTGGGGTCCTGTGCATTTATACTCGATTTAAAAAGTGTATGGCTACAAATATTATAGTTTAACTTGTGTCTTACATAATGAGGGTCTGTAGTCCAGTTTGCAGTTTGTGTCACAAAAGTCAAGGTACTCCGGTCTTTAAAATGATGCCAGTATGCTGGCCTAATTTTTGTCTGTTTGCACAACGATGCATGACGCAACACACAGTGAGAGTCTAGAGCCATGGTGAAAGGTTTTATTGATCCAGTGCTGGATCTTCATCAAGGTAATCAATAGATCACTCACTGTGTGTGAAGTCCATGCTGAAGCTCAGGATCCTCCACTGAGCAAATAGTTGTTTTTTGTTTGTTTGTCTGTTTGGTAACTTGGGTAAACTGAAACTTAAACTCACAGGCTCCAAGACAGTGGTACTCAACCTGGGGTTCATGTCCCCAGATAAACCTTAGGGGTCAGAGGATAAATAAAGGGATAAGTAAGGGGTGAAAAAAATCAGTTGCACAAAATTACGTTTATATTTTTAAGAATGCCTAGCATTTGTGCTTTTTTCTTAAATACTGAAAATTCAGAAACATAAAAATCTCACACATGCACTTAGTAAGACACACATGCCCTTAGTAAGACCAGCACCTGTGATGAGAGGTTAAGCACAGTTTTCTTTATTTTAAGAGGTCACACACTTCTGTAAGATTCATTCTTAAAAACTTTGTGCAAACAAATGTGCCCAAATGCACATGATAGAGACATGCACAGCTGTGGCTCAATGAGGTAGAGCAGGTCATCCACTAATCAGAAGATCAGTGGTTTGATCCCCGGCTCCTCCAATTGGCATGTCAAAGTATCCTTAAGCATGATACTGAACCCCAAAATGCTCCCAGTGGCTGTTTTATATGTGTGTGACAGTGTGTTAAAAACTGAGTAGCAGATGTCACCTTGTGTGGAAGATTGGCCACCAGTGTGTGAATGTGACTCATGGTGTAAAACAATGTTTTGAGTTGTCATAAGACTAGAAAGGCGCAATACAAGCAAGTTTATTACCAACAACAGCATATTCTATCTGCACAGTGATTCCTGAATATTTAGATCAATATCTGTCTCTCTTGCCACTGCTCTGCAGGCAGGTGATGACTGCCCCCAACTTAATGCGGGTAGGAACAGCAGAAAAGATCTTTGTGGAGTGTCAAGACTGCACTGGAGGAGACATCAGGGTCGAAATCAACGTGATGAACCATCCAACTAAAAACAAAAAGCTAGCATCCACAGCTGTGACACTTAATGGTGCAAATGACTTCCAGGCGCTCGGACGAATAACGGTAAATGAAATGCTGTCACTGTTATTTCATTTCATTTTCTATCATGAGCACAAACAAGAGATCTGCAATCCAGAAATGCACATGATGTGCCCCACCCTGCTCATCATACACTCTTTGTATCTCTTGACACTGGTTTCAGATCCCTGTTGGAGACTTCAGTAAAGATCCCAACATGAAACAGTATGTGTACCTGCAAGCTCAGTTCCCTGACCGACTGCTGGAGAAAGTCGTCTTGGTGTCCTTCCAATCCGGCTACATCTTCATCCAGACCGATAAGACCCTCTACACCCCTGACAGCAAAGGTCAGTTCAATACCATATCAGTACTGAGAAACACACCTACTCCTGTGAAGGTATTTTTCCCAAATTGAATGATTGTACTGAGTGATCAGTCTTTTATCATAAGTGGAATAGTAAAGATACACCTTTCTTAAACTTTCAGCAGCAAACTTAACGTCTCTTTCTGTCTCTGTCAGTTTATTACAGGATGTTTGCAGTGACGCCCAGCATGGAGCCTGTAGAGAGGGATGACACAACCCAAACTGATGCTTCTATTGCCATTGAGATTGAGGTATTGTATTTTATCTTTGATAAGCACAGAATTGAATATATATAATCAGCTGTAACTGGGAGAATGAGGCCTCTTGATGAGATGATATCACAAAAACACATCCACTGAACTGTCGTGTCTTTGTTAGTTTCATGTCCATCTCTAGTGACACCTGTCCAACCAGTGACTTTAAAAATAAATGCTTTCCTCCCTCTAGTGGTTGAGTTACAGCTTTTTCCTTATTTAGAAATCAGAAATGTAATTTCTCATGGATTGTGGACTAAAGATAGCATGGATCTTTTAAATTTATAACTGGCACGGACCACAGTTCATGGTTGTTGTTTATTTTCAGACCCCTGAAGGCATCATTTTACCACTCGATCCAGTCTCTCTGATATCAGGGATGCACTCTGGGGATTACCAACTTTCTGATATTGTCAGGTATTTTATCTAATTTGAATTTACTTTTTCACATTGCATTTCTATACATTTTGTTTGATACTACTACTACTACTAATTATAATAACTTTATTTGTAAAGCATTTTTCAAAACACAGTTACAAAGTGCTCTATGAGACAAATTAAATAGTATACACCATCAAGACAAACAGCAATAAAAAACATTGATCATAGGCTAAGACCAGATAAATCAGTGTGTTTAATAAAGATAAATAAATAATAAAACTGATAAAAGAAGGATAGAAACTAGACCAACAACAGATTAACTGTAAAAAAAAAAAAAAAAGGAGGGTCCTACCTGATGAGCGCAGGCAAAAAGTTTAAAATCAATTCTATACTTAACAGGGCAGGGATCAATGAGTAGAAAGCCATATTTAAATAGAATGTTTTGTATGGGAACGGGCTGTGATTGATGTGTGACTGAAAAGAAACAATGATCCAATCACCTGGCTGTCAGCTGATTAAAGTTGGGGCGCATGACTTTGGTGAGGCAGAGCTTCATTTAGTAGGCCACTGATGAGTTAATCAATAAATATTAGTTAAGCACAGCTTGATAGAAAAGTAGCTACACATGAACTGGAAAAATAGTTGTGTGAGTATAACTCCATTTGTTAATGTTAGAAGCAAATCAGAATCAGCTGAAAGTGGTATCAATCTTATCGTCAGAAAAAAAATCTAATATTGAAATAAAGCTTTTTAGTCTTGACTCATGCAAATACTGAAAGTGAATGATATTGTCAACAACCAACAGCTGCACTCTCTCCAGCACCAAACAGGAAGCAGCAAACTGGGTAGACAGTAAACATGGAGGAGACTGCATGGAGGCAAACAAGTCCTGGTCCTCTTGTTCTGTGGAAAAAAGAGGATAAACTGAAGTTGTGGAGTGAACAAGAGTCAGTTTAATTCGGCGTGTATCTGATCCACCAACCAGCACTCATTTTCATGAGAAATCTTAATTTTTGAAACAGTTCACCTCCCAATAAAATAGCAAATGTAACCAATGAAAGCTGGTGGCTAGTTAAAGCAACAAAATCCAACATGTAAAGTTTGTACACAAATACTTTTCTCACTTTAAGGATAGTTTTCATGCTGAATTGACAAGAATACTGTGAACAATTATGCCCTTTATCTTTATCTTGTGTTTCTAGAGGTATGTGTTTTTGCGTAAATGAAAGGAATTGTTGATATGACATATTTCTTAAAGGGAGGTTGGCTTACTATTTTCCACCAGGAGTAGGACAAGAAATAATCTCAAAAGGAATCTAGTTCTAGTTCTGATCTAGTCTTGCAAGATCCCCAGTCTTTGTAAAATCCCATTGTGTGTGGCTAAAAACACACATTGTGTTTAGATGTGAGAGGATGTCTGACTTTTAAAAGCACTATCAAAGTCCCTTCAAGGTCTTCTAGTGTATGGTAGGCATAACTCTCCAATGAAACGTAAAGCTGATCCTTGAATTGTAGAGCAGATCAGCTATTTAGATCTTAATATTAACTGTAAATGGACAGACAGACATAACCCAAGAGAAATACATTCAGTCACAATACATTATGAACTTAAATAATCCACCTTAAAAGGCATTAAATAAAGGTACGATGATGTTCTGTCTTTTGCTCAGCCAACCTGAAAGCTTTAAGCCTTTTCTTTTAAACTTCAGTGTTTCTAAAGTTACTGCCCTCTGTGGGACAGTACAAACACTATGTTCTTTGCAGAAGCTCATTTGTCTGCAAGCAGTTCTTGTTTTGCTAGATTATTGAAATATACGTTCTTGTGTGTGTTTGTGTGTGTGTGTGTGTGTGTGTAGTCCTGGACTGTGGAAGGTGGTGACAAAGTTCCACAGCAACCCACAGCAGAGCTATTTTGCAGAGTTTGAGGTCAAAGAATACGGTGAGTCCCTCATTCCCCACTGTCATTTAAAACCTAAACCTAAATAAGCCTATGACAATGACTTACTTTATTGGACACACAATAAAATGTTTTCAATTTTTCAGTGCTGCCCAGTTTTGAGGTCAAACTGACACCTGACAGCCCCTTCTTCTACGTGGACAGTCAGGAGCTCCGTGTCAACATCAAAGCGACGTATGTGAAGGTTTTTGTTTTGTAGACCAGGTTTGACTGGGTGAGGAAACAAAGGGTGTTCAGAGGTTGTGTTGAGGCTCTTGCTCTTTTAGTCTGTTTGTCATGTGTTGTGTTGTTGTTACATTCTGGCCATCCCACTTTTAATTGTGGACCTAAACATGTCTTTCTCTTGTGGTTTTAGATACCTATTTGGTGAAGAGGTGGATGGGACGGCTTATGTGGTGTTTGGAGTTATGCAAGATGGTCAAAAGAAAAGCTTCCCATCTTCTCTTCAGAGAGTGCCGGTGAGCACATACTTATACTTTTGCCGCATTTTTACAAGACCCTAAATTTCCTACATTTTGTAAAGTGCCTTCAACTGACTGTATCACTGTACCACTATACTGTATCTCAAGATGCATTTTTATACTATGCCAAATTAGGTTGGCAGAGGTAGTGGAGCGGTCACACTGAAGAGAGAGCACATCACACAGACCTTCCCAAACATCCTCGACCTGGTCGGGAAATCCATATTTGTAGCTGTCAGTGTGCTGACGGAGAGCGGTAAGAAAGAGAGAGTGTGTGTTTGTGCCTGTTCGGTGTATTTGATCATGTGTGGATCGAAAGAGCTTTCAGTATTAGTAGAGTCTAAACTTTCTCAAAGAATGTCATGACTTGGCTCTAAAGGCATGCCAAAGAAAGAGGGAGACACAGTCTGAAGGCAAAATAACATATGCTAGTCCATACCCATTGAGTGCACAGTTGCAAACGTACATTTTCACATGGTGTGTGTTTGGGATAATAGCAGATTAAATAGTCAACTGAACCCATTAAGAAGAGCAATGTATTCAGACAGAGTTTTTGTGAATTTGATAGTACGATTGCTTTACTGTAAGTACCATTGCCAATAGTGGGATAGTTAGTTGGCTAAAACTGTACATTAGTAGTTGAGGTAGCATGTTGAAAGGCAGATAGTTAAAGTCATTGCCTTATAGAAGCTCAGTTTTAGTAAGTTTTCCAACTTTTGCCAAGAGGGAACTTTAGATATTGGTCCCTAGATTATGTTCACCGAGTTTCATGCAGATCGGTCAAACTTCCTAGGAAGAGATCGATTTTAAGTGTTTTTCAAAAAATTCAAAATGGCGGAAAATCTATATAACCGGAAGTTATGGGTTCTTAGGCAAATTTGTTCCTCGTGAAGAGAGGCATCTCTGTGCAAAATTTCACATGGATTGACCAAGTCAGTGAGGAGAAAAACGTGGAACAGACACACAGACAGACACAGACAGAGTTTTCGTCATGATATGGTAAGAAGATTTATTTACACAGAAAGTACATTTTCTTAATGCAGGAACACAAAAGGAAACTAAAGGAACAATGAGGTTTAATTTCAGGTGAGAAATAGGCAATACAGTAACAGAATCTTGGCTTATAATTGCTCAGCGCTGCCCAGTTTTACTGTTTGATCTGAGTTTGGTCAGAGTTTGAGAGAGACATACTACCCACACTGTTATGATTAAAGGCTGGTTGAAAATCAGCAAACTATTTCTCTGATAAAGAAGAAAGTAAACCAGTGTTTAAGAAATACTCAGCTGCAATTAGTTTGTGTGTAAATGTGTTTGTTTCTGCATTAACTCAACAGGTAGTGAAATGGTGGAGGCAGAGTTGAGAAGTATCCAGATCGTCACATCACCGTACACCATTCACTTCACGAAAACACCCAAATACTTCAAACCAGGAATGTCCTTCGATGTTGCGGTACAGTACTCATTAACATTTACATTACTGACCACATAAATTTGGATTTTCACAAACAGCTGAGATTCCAGATAAAAAGAGCAATCTACCCACCAAGAGTTTGCATCACCATAAACTACTTACTTACTTGACTGAAAACTAATTTAATAACGTGTTTGACCTTAATAAGATGTGTTTTAATAAGGCAGTTAGACGTTTTCTGATCGTTCGGTTGTGTGTGTGTCTGATGGCAGGTTGAAGTTGTGAATCCTGATGAGACTCCAGCACAAGGTGTTGCAGTGGTGGTCGATCCAGGCAACGTGCAGGGCTTCACCGCAGCCAATGGCATGGCAAGGCTCACCATCAATACAGTCGCAGGGAACGCAAGACTGACAATCAGCGTAAGTCTCTGAAATCTTTTTAAGGGAGTGTTCACCTCAAAATCAAAAATATGTACTTTTCCTCTTACCTGTAGTGCTATTTATCAGATGAGATTGTTTTGGTGTGTGCTGCAGAATGTTGGAGATATTGGCCGAAGAGATGTCTGCCTTCTCTGGAATATTATGGGACTAGATGGCACTCAGCTTGTGGTGCCGAAAAAATACATTTGAAAAACTCAACAGCAATGTCTCATTCCAGAAATCATGACCCAGTTACTCAAGATAATCCACAGACCTTGTTGTTGATGTAGGAACTATTTTCTGTCTACTAAACTACACCGACCAATCATATCACTGAGCAGAGGGAAGTGTTCATCTACTGTTAGCTCACCTAGGACCACTGAACTAGCTAACGTTACAGCGCTGCTGTGGATGAGTCCATCAGTGTTTATATCTAAAGCTGTGCTTGTAGCCCGAGCCCCTTGTCCATTAGTAGATGCATGTTTCCTTCTCTGTGGTGACACAGTTGGCAGGTGTAGTTCAGTAAAAAGAAAATAGTTCCCACATGAAACTGCTCACAACAAAGTCTGCTGATTATCTTGAGTAACTGGGTCGTGATTTCTGGAGAGAGACATCGCTGCCGAGTTTTTCAAATGTTTGTTTTTGGTCCTTTGAGCACCACAAACTGAGTGCCACATGGTTACATTTTATTCAAGAGAAGGCAGACATCTTTACCAGCACTCTGCAACTCACACCAAAACAGTCTAGACTGATGAATACTACAACAGGTAAAAGGAAAATCTTCATTTTTGATTTAAGGGTTAAATGTCCCTTTAAACCTCTATTAATGGACATTTTGATATTCACATTTAGTGGTGAAATCAGGCAGTGCTATCACCTAACCCTGCAGCTCTAAACAGATTTTTAGCTTCCTTATAGCTGATTGTTTTGGCTCTGCTGCTTACATGTTTACTGTACAGTAGGTGCATGGTGGACTTTAACTTAGTCAGTTTTATGTCTTTTTGTCAGTTTATTGAACATTTTTATATTGCTAGGTTAAGTTGTGCCGGGCAAAGCTACAATAAGTTAAGATAGGATAGGAGACACTTGAGACTTTTCATGTATTATTAATAACTAGTCCATACCCATTGGTGGCTTTGTCACCTTCTACCTATGCCAATCCTCAATGCCTATATGCAGTTTGACATAGATTGACCACATCAGTGAGTAGAAAAACGTGGGACAGACAGAATGACTGACTGACAGAATGACACACTGACAGTTTCTGTGATTATGTACAGCATACCATACCATGACTTAGTCATACCAAAAATTAGGAAGAAAAAAACAAACATTTGGCCACAGGGGGAGCCACAGCGATCGGTCGCATTTTAGCCATTTTTAAGCATTTTTCTGTTGTTATAGCGCCACCCAGTTGCCAATTGGAGTTAAATTTCTCCAGTCACCTTGAGGCGTCCTGTTCTACATATCTACCAAATTTAGGAAAAATCAATATGACGGTTAGGCCTAGATAATAAATTAGCTTTCTAGCGCCCCCATTTTGTTTGATTGGGTCAATAATGGAGGGGTCCCCTCAGATTATGTGTGGTCATATGCCTACAAAGTTGCGAGGTGATCGGTGAAACCCTTGAGATGTGATACACCTTTATGTGATGAGCCACGCCCTCCGCAATATTCATTGCCTTATAGAAGCTCAGTTTTAGTAAGTTTTCCAACTTTTGCCAAGAGGGAACTTTAGATATTGGTCCCTAGATTATGTTCACCGAGTTTCATGCAGATCGGTCAAACTTCCTAGGAAGAGATCGATTTTAAGTGTTTTTGTTTTAATTCAAAATGGCGGACAATCTATATAACTGGAAGTTATGGGTTCTTGAGGCAAATTTGTTCCTCATGAGGAGAGGCATCTCTGTGCAAAGTTTCATGTCTCTACCACATACGGGGCATGAGATATGCCCATTCAAAGTTTGCAATTTCAATCGGTTGCTATAGAGTCCCCCTTTGGCCAATTGATGTAATATTGCTTCATTTGCATCCTCCCATGACCCTCTACCACTGTGCCAAATTTCACATGGATTGACCAAGTCAGTGAGGAGAAAAACGTGGAACAGACATACTGTCACACCCGTAGACAGTTTTCTTCATTATATAGTAAGATCTGTTTGTGTATATTTACCCGTGTGTGCCATTAATTGCAGGCAAGGACCAATGATCCTCGTATTTCAGCTGAAAGACAAGCAAGAGCCAGCATGACAGCTGTCCCATATACCACCAAAAGCAACAACTACATCCACATAGGTAAGGGACATCCTGAAATAACATCAGGTGGTTAAGATAAAAGGGGTAGCGGTAGTGGTATGTACCATGCACTACATTTGTTCAGTATTAAGCACTTATCACATGTCACATTTACAGGTGTGGATACAGCAGAGCTGCAATTAGGAGACAATCTGAAAATCAACCTGAACCTCAACAGACAGGAAAATCACAATAGTGACATCACATACCTGGTGAGAGATGTTTAACACCATGTGTGCACACATATAATTATTTTTGTTGCATTCCACAACCTGTGTAGTTGTGATAAGAACTGATCCAAATCTGTGTCCCCAGATCCTGAGCAGAGGTCAGCTGGTGAAAAACGGCCGTTACAAGACAAGGGGCTCTAGTTTCGCAGAAAGGTCGAGGCGGATTTTGCAAGTTTGGCACACCATGTGCCTGGCGCAGCTACTCCTCTTTCCCACCTCCATCCCTCCTACCTGCGCAAGTTGGAAAGAGGGAGGAGAGAAGGCGTGGAGTGGAGTGGGATGTGAAGGACTCCTGCATGGGCTCGGTGAGACATAAACACTAATATAGCAGCGTTTAAAGTGCAAACAACAGGCTACACCCATGCACAAACTGATAAAGTTAACTCAAACTTATTTTTGACATATGAAACTGCTTGAACAAATACAAAACAGCATGTCTCATTCATTGATCTCACCTTCACATGTAGCTGACACTGGAGTCATCGAGACCTGCTCCATCCTATGAGCCTCGCAGGATGTTTGGTCTGAAGGTCACTGGAGACCCAGGGTCCACAGTAGGACTGGTGGCAGTCGACAAAGGAGTCTATGTGCTGAACAACAAGCATCGTCTCACCCAGAAAAAGGTCATTTTTTTTATTTCATATTGATCTATAAAGTTTTTGAAAGTTGCTTAATTTAAAAATCTATTTAAACAAATGACACGTGAACTTTCGTGGTAGATTTTGGCTTTAAATTATGTCCAGTATAACTTTGCCCTGCAGCAAATACATTGCCTGAGTAAGCTTGTCTCATGCCATTTGTCTTGTTTGTTTGTATCTTTGTGTGTGAATGACCTCCATCGTGCTCAGGTGTGGGATATTGTGGAGAAGTATGACACAGGCTGCACACCTGGTGGAGGGAAGGACGGTATGGGTGTGTTTTTTGATGCTGGGCTTTTGTTTGAGTCCAGCACGGCTTCTGGGACTGCCTATAGACAAGGTGACACTACTTTACTCTCTCCTACCTTGAACGTAGCTTCTTTAGGCTTTTATACTGTACCAATGAAATTAAAAAAAAAAACCTTCATATTAAAGGGTCTTTTCAACTAAATTTAATTGTGGGTCCTATTTTAATGATCAGCAGTGTATGGTGTAAGTGCATTTTGGGTGTGACCAACTGATTTTTTGCAAGTTAAATGACACATAATCTAGGTGCAAAGTAAAGCACAAGGAGTTGTATTTAGTTCCTCAATTAAGGATGGTGTGTTTTAAACATGTATTCAACCAATCAGTGTCATCTCCCACTCCCTTTAAAAGCCAGGTACACCTGCAGCTTGTACAATACTGTTTACATGGCAGATTTGGCAAACTGGAGAAGCTGCTGAAAGTAATGCAGTAAGAGCTGTAATGTGACTGCAGCAAATATCACGCTACATTTAAGCAGCAAAACTAAAAGCTGTCGGTATAAACTTGACGGAGGAAACAGAACTAAATGTGTAGCGTCTGAAATAATTATTGAAGCTACACTGCTCCTTGTTGGTAAATGCACACAGTGTCTCTCTTAATGGGGATGCACTAATCTGACGAAAAATAAAGCAGTAATTTGGATAGGTCCAATGAGAATTCAGAACAGGGACCATTTATTCAGTAAAAAATAAACAGCTAAATGTCTAGTAAATGCAAATACTGTGTATTTCTCCAACAGAACAAACAGAGGCTGCTCTTTAAATAGCAGGAAAATACAGCGCCATTCTGTTGTTAGACCTGGTTTTTGTTGGTCAGTGGTGTAATAGCTTTCTGCTGCCTCAAATTAGCAATATGCCAACAATGCAACTGACCACTCCTCATTTTAAGACCTACTGGCTCGTGAGCGCACAGATGAAAATACAATGGAAGTACATTTGCTATTTACACAACGTGGGCGCTGGCTGTGCTCCACTTTCTGCCGGGTGTAAAATTTGGCCCTAAATTTCTTACTCCCCTTTTTGGTATCAAGACTTGCAGATAGTTTTGGAGACACTGTTTCTCAAATCCATTCTCTTAAAGTTTTGGCACATAAAACAAAAACTGGGGTAAGTGAGATGATGTTCCTGCGTGAACCAACCCTCTGAGGCCTTTCCATGTTGGTGTCAACAGTCAACCATGGCGACTGCCACACGAGCTGATCATGGCTCCCTGTGTGCAACTGTAGATCAGATGTTCTCACCCTCACACCCTGTCCATGTGTCCAACCTGATAAATGACCTCACTCTGATTGTATGAGGTTCAAATCAATGATATAGTGCAAAAAGTCAAGTCTAAGTCCAACTTTGTTGGGTTCTGTTAAAGATCTTGTCTATGTTGCTTTTCCAGAAATGAAATGTGCGGCCCCCAGCAGGAAGAAACGAACCACTATAATGGATGTCTCAACCAGCTTAGGTAAGAACCACAGCTCTAAACTAACATGTCACCCAGATCAGGCTCTCCACTATGATTATAGTGGACTTCTTTATTTATTTAATATGTCAGTAATGTCCTTCATACTGCTCCTCTTTCATACTGAAGAGAAACGGAGCCCTTGTTTCTTCCCCTCTGGCAGGTTTCTCTTTTTTGTTTGTTCCATTTTTTTTTTTTGTTTGTTTTTTGTTGTTCCTTATTTAAATCTACAGATAGAGGGCATGTAAATGAATAAAGGAAAAAATTCTATTTCTCATGTGCCTTATTTTAAAAATGCTTCAAAACATTCTTGTACTCATACCTCCTTACCTCTCTCTCCTGCACAACCCTCTTCCTTTCCAGTGAGTCAGTATAAAGAGAAACTGGAACGTGAGTGTTGTTTGGATGGCATGCAGAAATCTTTTCTCTCATACACATGTGAGAGACGCTCAGAGTACATCAATGATGGTGCAGCCTGTGTCGCAGCCTTCCTGCACTGCTGTAAGGAGATGGAAAGCCAGCGAGCTGAGATGAAGGAGGATAACCTGCGACTGGCTCGAAGTAAGAGACAAGGACGAAGGATGGGTTGAAGCCCTGGGTGGTTATTCATCATGGTTATACTGGTAGTTAGAAAACAATCTAAATAATAACATTTTAAATTTCACTTTAGGTGAGGAGGAGGACAACAGTTACATGGACAGCAATGAAATTGGTTCACGCACCAAGTTCCCTGAAAGCTGGCTGTGGTCTGATATCAAATTGCCTACTTGCCCTCGACAGTCACCCAACTGGTGAGTCAACTGGAATATAGACATAATAAAATACACTGATAACTACATTAATAAGTGACACCATGGATATTAAAGCTATCCTTTACTGCTCAAAGCATTAACACTTCTCTTTGTTTCAGTGACACCACATCATTTACGAAAAACGTTCCTTTGCAAGACTCAATCACAACCTGGCAGTTCACTGGCATCAGTCTGTCACCGACTAATGGTGAGAATTCACAGACCAAAATCTCTCCTGTGTTTTAGTTGTGCCTCCAACTTTAAACCTCTCCAATCCCTTACACATTCCCCTACCTCTCTTTCTGTTTCATCAATTGTTTTGTTTTTTAATCCCTCTTATCTTAAAAGGAATCTGTGTCGGCCAGCCGTTAGAAGTAATTGTCCGCAAGGAATTCTTCATCGATCTCAGGCTGCCGTACTCTGCCGTCCGTGGAGAGCAGCTCGAAGTGAAGGCAATCCTCCACAACTACAGCCCAGATCCTATCACCGTAAGTCGGTATTATTATTGAGACGATGATATTTTTCTCAGGAGTTTGCAAATAAAACAGCAAAAACAACAATGAACACTGGACTAACGATTCAAATAATGGAATGAAATCATTGATAAGTGTTATAGCTTCACATGGTGGTCAGTCCAACACTTGCAGCAACCTCACTGCAATATTTTCAGCTTTACATTTCTTTAAAGTCCAGATGCATCATTGTTAGAAGCATAGGCATCAATTTTAAGGGGAACACAGGGGTCACGCACCCCCTTAATATTTATAACATGTACATTTGACTCCAGTGATAAAAACATCAGAGAAATGCGAAGAAGCAGCAGAAGACATTCCCACCTTAAATTGATTAAGGAAATATACAAAGTAGTGCATAAAAATTAACTAGAATGCAAGAAATTAAATTTCTTATGCTGGATATTTTCTGAGGGAGGACCCCCAACCTTCCCAGTTTCATATATGTCCGTCCCAATGTTGCTTCTTGGTTAGGCAACCCACAATGAAACTGATGATTATGATCCTAACGATGGTGGGGGAGGGGTTCATCTTTGATCAACGGCACATATACCTCAGTCTTTGTCTCCATCTTTGTCTCGTTTTCAAGGTGCGTGTGGATCTGATTGAGAAGGAGCACGTGTGCAGTTCAGCTTCTAAACGTGGAAAGTATCGTCAGGAAGTCAACGTTGGGCCCCTGACTACCAGATCTGTACCCTTCATCATTATTCCCATGAAAGATGGACACTACCCCGTTGAGGTCAAAGCAGCTGTTAAAGATTCGTCCCTCAATGACGGAATCATGAAGATGCTACGGGTGGTGGTAAGAGAAATGGGAAACAGTCCTTGAATATGTGAAAAAAACTGTTTTTCTCACGTCTCCACAGAAAATGGCAAACGTATTAAATCAATTGATTGACTGGGGATGAGGTTTAACAACAGCAAAACTATATCAAAACATCGTTTACGAACTCTCACTCAATTCGAGCAGTATAATCCAAGTCTCATTCATCCGGCTGTATTCTTAGTACTTCCCAAACACATATGACAGCATATGACTGGATTATTGATACCTGGGTTTTACTGCTTGAGTATAAATGGCTGTTCTGATATTGCATTTTGTTACACTTCAGTCGATAGAGATTACTCAAAAATAACTGTGATTTCTAATGTTTATCCTTATTCCAGCCTGAAGGCGTACTGATTAAACATCCTCAGATTGTAACTCTAGATCCCACTAATAAAGGAGTTGGTGAGTTTACCCATATAATAGCCGCAATGTGCGGTAATTTGGTAATATATATAATTTCATCACCTGCTAATTGAGCCCCAAACTCACCCACTGTTTCTCTTTTTAGGTGGTAAACAAGAAGAAACTCTCAACAGTGTAATTTCTTAGAAAGATTTGGCTCCAAACACACCTACCAGCACACAGATTTCTGTTACAGGTGAGATAGATTCTGTCATGTTATGTGATACTGTGTTTGTACACTGGACTCTGCACTGGTGTAAACTGGTGTAATTCTTATTGGGAAATGACCACCTCACTGGGTGTTTTGGTTTCTCTGTTTGTGTGTGTACGTGCAGGAAGAGAACAAGTGGCTGCACTGGTGGAGAACTCCATTAGTGGGAAATCTATGGGTAGTCTGATCTATCAGCCCTCAGGCTGTGGAGAGCAGAACATGATCCACATGACCCTGCTGGTCATTGCATCCACATATTTGGACAAAACCAACCAGTGGGAGGCTGTGGGCTTTCAGAAACGTGCTGAAGCCCTCCAACACATTCAGACCGGTAAGCTCACACACAATCACACACACAGACACTTATTAGCACAGGTACCAGAATGCTCCATGTCCCTTTTACACCAATTAGCTCTGGATCTTGAACCAACAAACAGTAGTAGCAAATTGGCAGATTTCATTGATTACCTGAGAGCTTTTGTTCTGTTATTACAAATTTTTGTTTTTATCCAAAAAACAAGCATGGAACAACTATTAATTAGACCACTGTAAGCTATTTTTTCCCAATGATTTCTCATTTGACTCATCTATTGTTGCATTCATTATCCTCTCTTTCCAGTCTGTAGAATGTGACACACCCACTGATGTGACGGTTCACACTTCAGGTTAAGAAAAATCTGCTATTTTTTTTTTAACTTTTTGGGTTCCAGACCAATTTACCTTTGGTCCAAATCGAAATCTGAATGGCTCAAAACTAGGCGTGGCTACCGGAGCGGAGCCCACTCTGTTGGTGGACAAGGGATATGTGCGGTATTTTAAAGGGTGGCACCATCAGTGTTCTTTTTTGTGTTTTTCAAGTGGAAACTCCAACTCAACTGTTATCAGAATGCCGTGACATAGCTTACAGTGCTTACCCCCTAACTGATCAGTGGTCAGGGTAGCAACTCTTTGTATTCTACAATGCAAAATGACTGTTTCTGTCAAAATACTTAACTAACACTACTACTCATGTTTGAGAGATTTAGGCCCCCCTGGCCTTCATCTCCAAATTATCCCTCAAATTAACATGTGCTGACCAGGAAGAGACTCAATATGACCACAAAGACACATAAAATGTTCACAAAGAGACACAAAACGATGACAAAGAAATGCAAGAGAGCTGCAAAGAGACAAACACATGCACCACAACCAGCAAAAAGGGGAAAAACAACCACAAAGAGATACAAAATGATTACAAAGAGGTACTAAAATGACCACAGAGAGACTCAAAATGAATACAAAGGGAAGTAAAGCAACTTTTTGGAACCGAACTGACATGGCGTCCACAGCACAACGACATCATGCAGAAACCTACATCAGGTCATGTTGGAAACATTTTTTAAAAGGCCTTGGCACAATAGCATTTTGAGGCTGAAACATACTTCAACCAAAATTTTAAGCACCTGGTGAGGCACTCCAACCATCCATGAACTCATATGTAGTTGTTTGCACACCCTTGATTAGCTTAGATCCTGACTATAATGAGGATGATGTATTTCATGTGCAAGTACATGAAACTAAACTAACACCCTCTCCTCTCCTCTCCTCTCCTTTCCTCTCCTCTCCACTCCAAGGATGACAGCATATGTTGCCAAGGTGTTTGCCATGGCCAACAATCTGGTGGCGGTGCAAAAGGAACACATCTGTGAAGCCATCAAGTTTCTGAAGAGTTTCTGATTCTTAATCTAAAAAGTCAGGAGTTAATTCTGCTGGAAGAGTTTAAGAAATGTTTGCCTGACCGCATTGTTGTGTACTTGAATGAACAGAAGGTAAAATCACTCTCTGCTGCCGCCGAGTATGTGCTGACTCACAAGACTGCTTTTCCGTCAGTCTCTGTTGAGAGGCCCCGATATACTCCAGCTACACAAACTGCATCACCCAACGTACAAGGTACAACTAAGGATGACAGGGAGTGTTATTACTGTCACAAACCTGGACATGTCATTGCTGAATGTCGTAATCTTAAGTGCAAAGGGTTACAGTCACCTTCTCAGAGCGCGTCACAGCCAAAAGGTATTGGCCTAATTCAAGCAGAGCCGTGTATAACCACTGAATCTAGTGATGATGAAACTCTTGATGCTTGTTTCAAGCCATTTGTATTCGATGGTTTAGTGTCGCTAACAGGTGAGCCTGCTGAGCAACGTCCGGTACGTATTTTGAGAGACACCGGTGGCTCACGGTCGGTGATACTTGCCTCCGTGTTACCATTTACTAAACAATCCGCCCGTGGTTTTGGTTCTGTGTTACAGGGCATTGAAATGGGATACGTTCCCAGGCCCGTACACCACGTTCATGTGCAGTCAAAACTAATCACCGGTTTCTTTCCCATCGCTGTTTGCCCCGTGTTGCCGATTAAAGGTATTGCTCTTTTAATGGGTAACGACATAGCCGGTGGTAAGGTGACCCCTCAGCTGGAAGTGTTGGATTCCTCTCAGCGCACAGAGGATGGTAATATAACCCACGCACATTCAGATTTGTTTCTAACCTGTGTAGTCACTCGCGCACAGGCAGTCAAAAATAAAGATGATGATGATGTTTGTTTATCTGACACTGTGCTTATGCCAATCTTTTCAGAAGAGGCTGAAATGGAGAATGAGACGGAGATCGCTGCTGCGTCTCCCTGTGAAACCACCACCGAGATGGTGCTCTCCGCCCGCTCAGATATGCCACCATCTGACGGCGCGTCTTTCCCGGTAACCCGTGAACATCTGTGCGCTGCTCAAAGGGCTGACCCGACGTTGAAGAAGTGTTTCTCCAATGTGGTCAGTGCCAACAAAGCAAGTGTTGAAAAAGTAGCATATCTCCTTGATAATGATGTACTGGTGCGTAAATGGTCTCCTGCTGCCGCGGATTCTGATTTAAACTCTGTCTATCAGATAGTTGTCCCCACCTTGTACCGCCAGCATGTCCTATTGGTAGCGCATGAAAGTCAGTGGGAGGGACATTTAGGTTTAACAAAAACCTACCAACTCATACTCAAACATTTCTTTTGGCCAGGCCTAAAAACTGACATTTCTAAGTATTGTCGTTGTTGCCATGTTTGTTAAATCGCCGGCAAGCCAAATCAAGTCATTCCTCCAGCTCCGCTGCATCCTATACGTGCCATAGGAGAACCATTTGAGAGGGTAATAGTAGACTGTGTTGGTCCCTTGCCCCGCACGAAAAGTGGAAATCAGTATTTACTTACCATCATGTGCGCTGCCACTCGCTTTCCCGAAGCTGTCCCGTTACGCAAAATGACAGCCAGCTCCATGGTGAAAGCTTTAACAAAGTTTTTCTCCACATTCGGCCTTCCCCTGATAACCCAGACTGATCAAGGCACCAATTTCCAGTCGAATATTTTCAAGTCCTTGAAACACTGAATGTGAAACATGCCGTCTCTAGCTCGTACCACCCCGAATCCCAGGGCGCGCTAGAGCGGTGGCACCAGACACTGAAATCCATGCTCCGTAAATACTGTCTGGAAACAGAAAAAAATTGGGACGAGGGAATTCCGTTTGTGTTGTTTGCTGCTCGAGAAGCCGTTCAAGAATCTTTAGGATTCAGTCCCGCCGAGCTCGTTTTTGGCCACACGCCCCGCGGGCCACTGAAATCCTTAAAAGACAAATTCCTGTCGTCCAAAACTTCTCCTGAAACCAACGTGTTAGATTATGTAAGTAAGTTCCGTGAGCGTTTGCACCATGCCAACTCCCTTGCAAGAGAGTCTCTCTCCTAGTCACAGACGGCGATGAAACGTCAATTCGACCGCTTCGCTGTTCCCCAACACTTTGAGCGGGGTGAGAAAGTTTTGGCGTTATTACCTATTCCCGGTTCATCTCTCTCTGCCAAATTTTCCGGTCCTATGAAGTCTGTGACCGTCTGAGTGATACGGATTACGTCATAGGCACCCCCGAAAGGAGGCGAAAAACTCGGGTGTGCCATGTCAATATGTTAAAGCTGTATCATTCAAATGCTGTGTCTGCAAGTGGTCCGAAAAAGTCCGATATTCCTCCGCTGTCCGTTGTTTCTGGCAGTTCTGCGTTGATCGTGTCAGAAACCCCAAATGCGTCCGACGGAGATGATGATTTGATGATGCGTCATTCCTCACGCCAAAGTGCTCGATTACCGAACTCTGAGATGTTGAAAGTGTTGCCTTCCCACTTAACTCACCTGGCAGACGAGCAACAGTGTGATGTAATTGACTTGATAAGCCGTTTCCCATGCCTTTTCGGGGATGTCCCGAGCCGAACGACAGTTCTCCAGCATGACATTGACGTTAAGGATGCAAGACCAATTAAACAACATCATTACCGCGTTAACCCAGTTAAACGGGCACTGATGAAAAAGGAGGCCGAGTATCTCCTTCAAAATGGCTTAGCCACGCCCAGCTCCAGTCCCTGGAGTTCACCGTGTCTTTTAGAGGCTAAATCTGATGGCTCCCCTCGGTTCATCACTGATTTTCGCAAGGTAAATTCAGTGACAGTCCCTGATTCATATCCTCTGCCGCGGATGGAGGATTGCGTGGATAATTCGGGCACAACCAAATTTGTGAGCAAATTAGACCTGCTCAAAGGTTATTGGCAAGTACCACTGACAGACCATGCCTCCAAAATTTCCGCATTTGTGACCCCTGATCATTTTTTGCAATATACAGTTATGGCTTTCGGCATGTGCAACGCTCCAGCCACTTTCCAGCGCCTAGTAAACATCGTCTTGGTCGGCCTGACTAACTGTAATGCATATTTAGATGATTTGATTGTGTACACCACCACGTGGGAGGAGCACATGAAAATCCTTGAACAGGTGTTTGCCTGTCTCGCTGCAGCGTCGCTCACGTTGAACTTGGCGAAATGTGAATTCGGCAAGGCCACCATCACCTATTTAGGGAGACAGGTGGGCCAGGGTGAAGTGTGCCCCGTTGATGCAAAAGTCTCCGCCATAACAGAGTGTCCCGTTCCATCCACTAGAGGAGCTCTTCGCAAGTTCTTAGGCATGGCAGGTTATTATAGGAGTTTTTGCCGTAACTTCTCCACTGTCGTCCACCCATCGACAAGTTTGATCAGTCCCAAAGTGGATTTTGTGTGGACTCTTGAATGCCAACATGCCTTTGAAAGTGTGAAGTCCCTTCTAAGCCACGCCCCTGTGCTCGCCGCTCCCGAACCCTCGAAACCGTTCAAAATAGAGGTTGACGCGAGTGCGGTGGGTGCAGGCGCGGTGTTGCTGCAAGAGGATGCTGATGGAGTTGATCATCCCGTGTGTTACTTCTCGCGAAAGTTTAACAAGCTCCAGCTCCACTATTCCACTATTGAAAAGGAGACCCTTGCTTTGTTGCTCGCACTACAACACTTCGAAGTGTATGTCGGTTCAAGTTCTTTCCCGGTTGTTGTCCTGACCGATCATAACCCCATTGTTTTCTTGTCCCGCATGTATAACCACAACCAACGGCTCATGCGGTGGGCTCTTATCGTGCAGGACTACAACATAAACATACGACATAAAAAAGGTTCTGATAACGTGCTAGCAGATGCCCTGTCCAGGTTGTGGTAAATATGAATTCTGATTATTAGGTTACAATACCTATGGGTTTGTATTTTAAGGGGAGGGGTGTTACGGCCACCGCCGCCGTACCCCTGCCTCATAGTTTAACTTGATATAGTTGTGTGTTTTATGCTGAGCAGGCTGTGTGATCCCCTGCACCTGATTGGCTCACGCTGAGGAGGTGTGCCTTCCCCCCACCTTCCATCTCCTGGCCGCGTCTCCTTCGTTTGGATTGGCACGGTACCACATCAGCTCCACCAATCCCCAGGCTGCAGTTGAGGAGCAAGGCTATATAAGCTTCAGCCAGCTCATCAATCAGGCAGCTGTAGAGGAGCTTGCCAAACGTGTCTCTGGAGTTATGTAAATGTTAATGTAGCATTAACTTGAATGATTGAAGTATATGAGGCACTAGATAGATAGGACTGGGCTAGGTAAAGTAAGGTTCAATAACTGATTGCACTATCGATACTGACAGGTATCTCTACTGTTTAGACACACTAGGTTAAGGGGTGCTGCTCTAATTGTGTTATGTTTTGAACCAGTCTAGAGTTAGTTAGCGATTTTGTTTCTTGCTTTTGATTTATTTAGTCTCCTTATTAATACTCTAGTTTTGGTTCTATTTGTTTCTTTAAGTTGAGCAGCATCCATCAGCCCTTTCCTTTAGCTTCGCCTCACAATTTCTGTTTGCCAAACCTTGTTTAATAAATAATTTTACTTTTACCAACTATAACTGGTTTATGTTGCTTCCCTTTTCCCACCACGAGCTAGGGGTCGTAACACCCAGCAACCTGATGGCTTGTTTAGAGAAGCTGGAAAGGTTTCTCACGGAGAGATGATTGTACGTACATTAATTTAATTGACCACAAAAAAGGAGATGAAAAAAATGATGTCATTGACTATCATCTTATATGAATAATACAAGTTTGTATGCGTGTGTGTGTAGGGAGATGTGCGCGGTGCAAATTCAGATGCCTCCATGACGGCCTTCTGCCTCATTGCCATGCAGGAGTCACGCACACTATGTGCAGCCACTGTTAATGTGAGTAAGCCTGTACCTGTATGCCACTGTTTTCTCTTGTTCCCAAACTTCTGTTATTTCTTCTTATCGCAAAGCGAGGCACCAAAACATCTTGCAGCATTTCAATGTGGCCTGAGCTGTTGTGCCACGGTCAAATCCAGAGAAATTCTTGAACAGAAGGGGATATTTCAAATAGATGCATTACTGTTATTTGACTCATTTGACAGCCTTTTATATTCATACTGAAATCTCTGCTATCTCTCCGTTCTCACCTTATTCTCCCCTCTCCTTCCTTTCCTTTCCCTTTGTCCAGAGTCTTCTAGGCAGTATTGACAAAGCAGTGGCCTACCTGGAGAAGCGTTTGCCCAGCCTCACCAACCCATATGCCGTTACCATGTCGTCATATGCCCTGGCCAATGAAAACAAACTGGACCGCGAAATCCTTAACAAGTTTGCTGCCCCAGGTATCGTCACATGGCAATATGCTTAAACTCATATTCATAAACATACAAATTACACATTCATGAAAAATTACTATCAAATATATGTTTGAGGTAATTATTAACATTTATGTAGACTGTCCCCCAGAAATGACAATGTAAATTGGCAACCAGTTTTGATCAACTAAATGAAAGGGCTCTTGAGTATGTTAAATGTTAAATCCAATTATCAGATTTTTTAATCTCTCAATCATCAATATCTGTATTGGCCTTAAAAGTCCTTATCTGTCAGGCTCTCACATGCATAACCCTGTATGTGAATTTACACTTAAAAGGACCAAATGACCTTAAAAGGACAGAAATTCTTAAAAGTGAGCACATTTTCCATTCTTTTTTTCTAAATTTCTATGACATTATTTTTCTTTTAAGATTAGGGAATGGGTAATTATTTGTGAAATAACATTATTCCAGGTAGAGCAGAGGAACAAAAACAAATTTGTGTGTGTCTTCCCCAGAATTATCCCACTGGCTGACACCTAAGGGACGCATTTACACACTGGAGGCCACAGCTTACGCTCTTCTCGCTCTCGCCAAGGCCAAGGTGAGCATGTCCCACTGGTGTGTGTTTGACCAGCATGTGATGTTACAGAAGACATACAGCAGAGTCCTTATCCACACTGCCTCACTAAAAGGGTTCAGAAACAAAAGTCAGTGCAACGTGTCTGACGGTGACTTTACTACCTCAAAATGTGTTTATGTATAAACACATATATTTTTTCAGTTGTTTGTTTGGCTCTTTTTAACATAACTGACCTTTGAAACGACTGCTTTCCACTTTACAGAGCTCTCTTTGATTATATATAGATTTTCAAAGGCATTTTTCTGTACCTATTGCTATGACTTGATTATTACGTTACTTGTGACCCAGTTATATCAGGGTCTCTACAGGTTAAGTCAGGTTAGATTTAAGACTTTTAAAGACTTTTTAATGCCATTCTGAATTAAACTGAAGACCTCAACAGAATTGGGATGTGGCGTTTGCAGTCAGGTTTTCTTGGCGATTTTTGTTCCTCATTCTGCATGTGAACATCCACTGCCTTGACAGAGTCTGAAAAACTTCTTGTGTAAAATACACTGAGCCTTGTTTGCTTTCCTTGTACCAGTTTCAGCCATGCCATGAAATCTTGGCTAAATAGTTAATTCTTGTTAAATTTGCACTTTCTCATGTTATTCAGGGTACAGTGACAGCTAGCTGGCAGACAGTGGATCCTCCACTCTCGTCATCCTGGAAACAAATAATCAGCGTTGTTGGTTCCCCTATTCTGATCTGTGTGATGCTAATGCAAGATGCGTTCTGTGAATTATTAAAAAAAATATATATGTCAGCAATTATTTTGAGGTTTTACAATGTAATGTCAGAAAAAAACAGTTCATAAGACCTATTAAGGCCTTACTTTTAGGTGACTGAATTCAACGACTTTTAAGACATTTTTTAAGGATCTGCAGGAACCCTTTGTATCAGGCAAGTGACTCCACTGTAGAAGACAGTTGCATGTTTCCTATACCGTTCAATTGTTTTGTCCAGTTGTAGTCTAACAGTCCCTTGGTTAAATTTTACTTTTTGGTTTAAGTAACTGAGTTACTTTTTAATGAAGTAACTAGTAACGGTAACTACTTACTGTTTTTCAGTGACTAGCACAACACTGGCCATTATAGACAAAAACTGATGTAGAAGCTTTGTGGTCGGATTTGGAAACTGTGAGGTTACAATCTAAAACATAACTGTGCCAGAATCAGGACTTCTCACTATTTTTACCTTAGTTGTGTTATAAATTGTCAACCACCTAAAATTTTAACCACTGACTTGCCTTCTCTTGATAAAGGCATTTGAAGACGCCAGACCTATTGTGAGATGGTTCAACAAACAGCAGAAGGTGGGCGGAGGCTACGGATCAACTCAGGTAACACAGCCCCTTCTCTCCATCTTGATACCTCCACATCTTATGTTAGCTTATAACTTTATTAAGTTGTGTTTTCTCTTCCTCACTCTTTTTCTCTCTCTAGGCTATTATAATTGTGTACCTGGCTTTAGCAGAGTACTGGGCCAGTGCTAAAGAACCAGAGTATGACCTGAATGTGGACATCTTGTTGCCGGGCAGGTCAAAGCCAGAAAAGTTCAACTTCAACAGGCTCAACCAATACGCCACAAGAACATCTAAAGTGAGAAGCCACAAAAATAAAAACACGGTGGCTCATCAATCATTAAGCTTTTTTGTGTCTCTTCTGCTGATCCCTGTGTACATATCTAATTGCCCACAGCTCAATGATATAAACCAGGATGTGAAAGTGACTGCCACGGGTTCAGGAGAAGCAACGGTGAAAGTAAGTACAGACATTTTTACATTTTATACTCTTGAGTTTTACTATCTGTTGATTATTGGTGTGTCCAAGATGAGACCAAAGATTTGTGCTATATTTTCCTAAGACAGATGTCTATTAATTTATCACATATTAAGATGCACTTTTGTCCGTGTGACAGATGGTGTCGCTGTATTATGCTCTACCTAAAGAAAATGAGAGTGACTGTGAGAAGTTTAACGTGTCAGTGCAGCTTATCCCAGGTAATTTGGTGCCTTCTGTCTCTTTCTGTTTATTTGTCCTCATTTGCCTCTAATTGTTGTAATTTTATCAGTTTACCTTAGATTATGACAAACCAATAAACCTAATACTCAATACAATGTTTTGCTCCTACAGAGAAAATTGAAGAGGAGGAGAAGATGAGAATAGAGGTTTTGTAAGTACAATCAAGTCGTCATACTGACAAGCGTTACAAGTGTTATTCTGCTCATTTTCAATTGTTCTGCCCTCATGATGCCTCCATGTGCTTTGCTGCAAATAGATGTCTGTGATTTTTAGGGGCCGGGCAGCCTCAGCTGCCAGGACCCTATTGTTATCCTGCATCTTCTTCTTCTTCTTCTTTCTTTTCTTCGTCTTCTTCTTCTGAGGAAATCCTACTTCCCATGCGCGAAAAATCACCAAACTTTGCACAAGGTCCAGTCTCATGCCAGATTGCCGCAGCTGCAAAAACAGGCCAATAGTCCTGATGGTGGCGCTACAGCAAGCCTCTAAAATTCAAAATTTTGAATATTCACAACAAATCAACCATACGTGCTACAGATTTGCAACTTTCACCAAAATGTAGCCCCAATACTGAAGAAACTTTTGTCCATTTAAACCTATTGCAAATTATGAAGTCCATCACTCTGTTTTTTTTTCAAAAACTGTAAAACTTCTATCTCCTCCTACAATTTTTGCTCAATTGACACCAAACTTGCTACAGAGCATCTTCAGACTGTCCTACACAAACGATCCACACAGATTTTTGATTTATTGAAAATTGAGCCTACAGTGCATCAAAATGTTTGACTGTAAACAGTACTGTAAACATATACTTGCAAATTCTTGCTAAATACATTTTCAATGTTCATTAAAAAAATGACAAAATTTTGGAGTCATGGTAGATGATGTTTGGAAAATATCAGAATATCAGAATATATTATTTATCTCAAAAACTGAATTTTTTACAGCATTTTGAATTTCGCTCTCATGCGAACAATTGGAGTCAATGCAAAAATGGCATTTTTAAGCATCACTTTTTCAATTATGGAGCCAATAAATCATTGTTAAAAACAAATTACCAACATCTCAATGCTGTCTAGATGCAATTTGTGTATTTTCAGATTTTTGTCTTAATAACTGAATTTTTGACAGCCGTTTGAAATCTGCCTTTACACACTGCTGTCTTACACACAGGTGACTGGCTTAGTCAATTTGAGAAGCTACATATGACATTTTTGTTTGCCAATTAGCTCAGTGAGATAGAGGATGATTCTTGGTGTTGAAGATTGTGAGTTCAAGCCTCAGCTTGTTCAACATTTCCATGTGAGAAATCTACCTACACTTTTCATAAAGGTCCAGTCTCATGCCAGATGTCCTCAACTGGAAAAACAAGACAATAGTCCTGATGGTGGCGCCACAGCAAGCCTCTAAATTTCAAAACTTTGAAAATTCATAACAAATCAACCATATGTGCTACAGCTTTGGAACTTTCACTTTGAAATTTGCTTTTCCATGGCATGGATGGCTACTGTCTGGCACCCTGATGCTTGGCTTAGTCAATTTGATTTGATTGATTTTATGTATGGACCCCAGGAAGATTAGCTGCGCAGCTGCTAATGGGGATCCAAATAAAATAAACAAATAAACAAATAAACAAATTTGTGAAGCCACAGATGAACTGTCACTTGCCAATTAGCTCAGTGAGATAGAAGACAGACCTCGGTCTCAGAAGTTGAGAGTTCAGGTCTCAGCTAAGGCAGAATGGACATTCTAATGTGAAAGTCCTATGTTCAGGCATCATGCTATGTGGATTAAAGACTACTAAGGTTAAAATAATTATGATCCAGGCAGTTTTGCGGAGAGACAAATACTCTTTATCAACACTTTTCCCTGTTATCCCTTGTCTCTTTTCCCTGTTTATTTGGCTTAGCTATCAGTCAATATGCAGAGTCTATCCAATAGCTACTTTTACATTTTCAAAAATGTTTTCATCTTTGTCACCATGGATAATGTTTAGCTTTAAGCTAGATCAGGCCAGTTTGTTCATAATTGCTAGAAGTTAATGTTATTCTTACTTTCTTGTTCTTGAGTTTTTTCTTTCCTTTGTATATTATGAGTCTGATCACTTCAGCCACTCATCCGCAATTTGAAGGGCATGCCATAATTATATTGTTGCCTAAAATTGCCCGGCCCCGACCATTGCTGCGCAGCAGCTATAATTTTTTCTTGAATGAGCTCCTTTGAGCTGGCCTGGAAATCCACCCCCAAATCTAGAAAGATTTAGGGTCTGGCCATGAGTAATGAAAATGGTCCAACTCGAGGGGCGGCACCAATCATGCATTTGAAAATATCACTGCACGCAATTGGGTAACACTACGACCAAGCAGAACAATACACGGGATGACTTATACGCTTAGCTATCAGCGGAGCTAACTGGTAGATTAGACTCTTGCCGTATCCGTTCGGCAAAACAGCAAAAACGTCCTTCTTGCAAAGGAAAGACTCGAGCGCTGTCTTCTGTTCCTCTTTTAGAGAAAAAGCCAAGTCTAACTCGTTCATTGTAGCGGCCAAAGCCATTTTAAACAGCTGGTGTTCATCCGTAGCCATCTTGCAATGTTTACTGACTGATTCCAGACTTCATTGTCGCAGCGCTGTCATCATCTGTTTAGCTCGCCTCTGGCCCGCCTATATCAGATAAACCGATGTGATTGGTGCAGCTCGGTTACAAGGGCATAGATAATGAGCATCATTACTGATCGCCAGAGTGACTCGCTGAGCAAATTCAAATTGTGCTCTCGCGAGAACTCTGGATTTCCAGGGTAGCTTTGAGCTGCTCAGAGTCTGAAATTTTAAAGGATATTTGATATGACATTTTATAATGAGCGTAACTTTCTTTCTCTCCATCATCTTTACGCTTTCATTTTAATTATTCTGTCCATTCTGTGTCCAGGTATAAGGACAGGGAGAGCGATGCATCCATGTCAATCTTGGATATTGGGTTGCTTACTGGCTTCACTCCCAACACAAATGACCTGGACTTGGTAAGAACTACAAATACACAAATACCCACGCAAAGATCAGTCAGTGTGTATTGTTGGGAGGAACAAGCTGTGTTTTATGGTTTGGAAAGTCGTCTGACGATGTGTGATTGTGTGTAGTTGGCTAAAGGACGTGCCCGCACCATTGCAAAATATGAGATGAACACAGTCCTGTCAGAAAGAGGCTCACTCATCATCTACCTGGACAAGGTGAGACATCACTGTTTCCTACCTCTACACTATTTCTCTCTGCCTTGTTCTTTCTTTATTTATCTGTTTCAAATTTGTCCGCAGGTTTCTCACACGAGACCCGAGGAGATCAGTTTTAGGATCCATCAGAAGCTGAAAGTGGGAGTCTTACAACCAGCTGCCGTGTCTGTCTATGAATACTATGACCGTGAGTCTCAAAACACTAAGAAATATATGATGTCTCCATGTGCTTTGCTGCTTGTAGATGTCACAGTAGATGACATAGTGGATAAGCAGGCGTTATTAGCTACATTTTTAAATTCTTTATTTTCATTTTTTGATAAACTGCAGTTACCACTAAATATTTTTATCTTTGATTCTTGTTGCAGAAAGACATTGTGTGAAATTCTACCATCCAGAGAGGAAAGCTGGACAGCTACTGCGGCTCTGTAGAAATGAGGAATGCACATGTGCAGAAGGTAAATGGGATGATGTCAATCAGACCTAATCTATCTACTGTAAACATACATTTGCCCCAAACACCTAAAGACAACACAAACATTGTGCTTAACAGAGGTAAAGCACTGATCAGATGTTTTGGGCTTATCATCTGCACTGTCTGTAAACTGCAGCAATTTATACCCCTCAATGAAGTGGGAGAAACAACAAGAGTCCACAGCCACACTAGGGTAAATGCTAAGTCGTGCTAAGTCGAGTATTTCGCCGAGTCCTGCCCTACTATGCTGTGACTACATTCTGTGATTGGCGTGTCAAAGTCAGGGGCCAATAGGGTTAGGACAAAGAGGTCATGGTACAGGTTAGTACTAGCCAATCACAGCACATTAGAGCAGGGCTAGCAAAACATCTACATTAGGTGGGTACATGCTAGCATCTACCCCACGCTGGTGGCTCTGAGTGGCTGTACCATAGGCACAGCAGCACTTTGAGCTAAATGCTATTGTCAGCATGCTAACATGCTCAAAATGACAATGCTAACATCCTTAGCCTTGGCAAATATAACGATTATCCTTGGCACCATCTTAGTTTAGCACTTTAATGAAAATGTCATGAAAACATGAATGTCTGTACCTTATGGTTAGGTAGCATAAATAGTTGTAATAGTTATTAGCACCAGAGCGTACTGTCAGAGGCGACAAGCACCTGAAGGATCCTGTATAATCAGAGCAGTAGTGGAGCTAACGAATAGCTCACTAACATACACTAATTGTGACTTAGCTACAGCTGCACTCAACTCATTAACACTCATCCACGTGTGTCTATTTATTTATCTATTTACTGTGTGCATATTGTGCATTTCCAGAGAACTGCAGTATGCAGAAGAAAGACAATATCAACAATGATCAGCGGACAGCTAAGGTCTGCGAGAGCACACAAACCAGCAAAATTGATTTTGGTAAGACTGTAAATGAACTTCATTTTTATCCCAAATAAATTTATGTGTGTGTTTTTGATGGAAATTGGTAGAATCAGCAAGCAAGTGAGCTAACAACCTGCAACTTGTCTGTCCTCAGTGTACAAAGTGAGACTGGATGAGTTTGCAGATGGTTTGTCCACTGACATTTACACAGTGCGGATACTGGAAGTCATCAAGGAAGGTGGGTATTTATCCTGAACTGCCTAAAGTGTACAGTCCTCTGATGTTTCTAAGATGCCTAACAGGTGAAGGTGGCACAACGATTTGTTTGCCTCTTTCTAAAATTGAATTGTACCTCTCATGTTTAGTATGCCAAGTATGAAGCTACCGCAAGCAGCAAGCTAACTTAGGTTGCATTGCCAGGCAATCAGCAGGCACTCAAGAACTTATTGTTCCTGGCCAGGAAATTGTCCAGGACACCCGTTCAAAAAGGCTAACTGTTTCATACTTAGTTTTTTCTGTACAGGTTAAAGAAACTACATTAAAGGTGCTTTGTTAACTTTGGACTGAGCCAGACAAACTGTTTCCACTCTTTATGCTAAGCTACGTTAGCCAGCTGTTGGCTGCATATTTACTAGCCTCTACACTCATGAGAATGGTACCAATACTGGTATCAGTCTAACTCTTGTCAAATTTAAATGCATTTCCCAAAATGTCCAACTATTCCTTTAAGCATGATTTCACCAGGAATATGTGAGAATACAACACTTGTGTTGTAATACACCCCTGCTATGCATTCAATCCTTATCTTTTATCTCTTCTCCTATATTTGAATTACAGGAAGTTTGGATGTGGGTCCTCTGAATAAACTGCGCACATTCCTGAGTTATCCGCACTGCAGAGAGTCTTTGGATTTGGCGACAGGCAAAACCTACCTTATCATGGGCACTTCCAAAGATATTCACAGAGATGAACAAGAGCAAACGTTAGTTTGTTCCTTGTGTGAATGTGTGGAGTGTGCATTTTACCATTTCCCTGTTTTACTGTTTTCCAAAACTAAATCAAGTCTTTCTTTGACTCTAGTTTATGTGTTACTGTAGCTACTGATGGAGTAGTTAAATGCACAGAGGGAGGCAGGAGGCTTTTTCATGTCATGTTACAGAGTGAAAGCTGGTCACATGGATACCCAATGTGTTTTTACTTTGCTCTCCTCAGCTATCAGTATGTACTCGGAGAGAGAACCTGGATCGAGTACTGGCCCACAGAAGCAGAGTGTCAATCTGACGAACACAGACCGACCTGTTTGGGCATGGAGGAGATGGTCCAGCAGTACCAACTCTTCGGATGTCAGCAGTAGTGAAGCACAAGGAAACAAAACGTTCTTTTCAAATTGTGTTTGTGTTGCATTTTTCTTATTATGTAAAACTTTCATTGCTATGGAGGTCTTATAATTTGCACTGTACTGATTAAAATATGATGGTCCCAATCTCATTGTCTGTGTTTTCTATACAAATGAACTTTTGATTAATCTAGAAACTTAGACAAATAATGATCACTGTTATGTTGAAGACTGTATGATTAGCTTGATAAGTTCAGCTGGAAGTAGGGGTTTCATAAAGTCTGATATTGTTGAGCTCAGTGGAGTGATGCATAGAAAGTTCAACACTAAAATTTCAGATTGTTTGTTATTCAGATTATAACAGCTCATATAGCTCAATCGACTGCAGCGGTAAGAAAGCTGGTATTTTCAGCTTTTGTTAAACCACTGGCAAAAAGTAAATGTAAACTACGTAACTGAAATGTTGTGGGTTCTACTGGCTTAATTTATTTAGCAAGAAAATCACATTCAAAAAGTATATACTCAATTTTGTATAAGGAACATGGGGAGTTTTTCCTTATCCGCTGTGAGGGTCCTAAGGACAGAGGGATGTCGTATGCTGTAAAGCCCTGTGAGGCAAATTGTAATTTGTGATATTGGGCTTTATAAATAAAATTGAAATTGAATTGATACAGTACATGCAATAGTCTTTCACAAATTTAAGTGAACAATTTACCCATTTAAGTCTGTTCAACAGTATAATGATTAATGAACAGATATATTCCTACTGATGCATAAGATATATTTAACAGAAAGTAACATTATATCCACATCCACAGCTGTGGATTATGTTACATAGGTTACCCTCATTAATTTGAATGCTGGACACAGAGAACAAAGTACAATAAATGAGAGAACCAAGTGGAAAATGCTCAATATCCCGAGAAAATGTGTTGTAGACGTTTAGGACATCCTAAGGTTGCATATATAGTTTTATAAGGTTTATAATCTGTTCTGTACATCCTCTCTTTCTCTCTGTCTTACTCACTTGTAGTTGTTCATCATCATGTACAAACGTCAGTCATTAGGCAGCTAAAATATGAAAATATCCATGACCTATAATTGATGAGTGGTCAACAAGAACAAAGAAGAGAAAGAGAAAGAGAAATTTAAAATTTATTATAAAAGAAATGCTTTATAAAGAAGACTGACAGGAAACAGATTCATTAACCCCCCTTAAAACCCCAGCTTTTGTTGAGCATGCATTTTTAATTTCTCCAAGCTATTTGGGAATTCGTAGGACCTGGTGAGTATAAAAAACTAAGCATCATCTTTGAACAGTAAGTAGTTTTTGAGAAAAAAATGTCCTCATATGGGGACATTGGTTTTTCTTTAATAGTCACAAGTGTTTATTTCAATGCCTGAACATTGTTAAAGGTAAGAGGTCACTGTTCAGGGCTACAACTGTTAAAAACTGTTCATGTCAATGCCTGAACATCCATTTTCTAACCGTTTCATCCTCTTGAGGGTCACGGGGGGGCTGGAGCCTATCCCAGCTGACAGTGGGCAAGAGGCAGGGTACACCCTGGACAGGTCGCCAGACTATCGCAGGGCTGACACATAGAGACAGACAACCACTCACACTCACATTCAAACCTACGGACAATTTTAGAGTCACCAATTGACCTATCCCCAACCTGCATGTCTTTGGACTGTGGGAGGAAGCCGGAGTACCTGGAGAAAACCCACATTGACACAGGGAGAACATGCAAACTCCGCACAGAAGGGTTCCCACACCCGGGATCAAACCAGGAACCCTCTTGCTGTGAGGCGACAGTGCTAACCACCACACCACCATGCTGCCATGCCTGAACATGGCTGTGCAAAAGCAAACTTGCAAGCAGCCTTGTGATTTGATAATTTTGTGACTGTGGATGAATCTTCCTTGCTCCATACTCTGAGCATTGAACGTCCTTTTTGTCCGTAGGAAGTCTGTCAAACCTAAAAGTGTCCTAGCTTGTTACTGTTGCTAAGATTGGCCATATCAAACTACAAACATTATTGAGCATAAATAAACAAGTTTCAACCATAAAAATGAAATTACATTTTGTGTCTGGATCAGCTGTAGACTGACTTGACATTGATTGTTGCCATCTTGTTGTTACATAGATTAGTGTATNATTTAGGACATCCTAAGGTTGCATATATAGTTTTATAAGTTTTATAAGGTTTATAATCTGTCTGCCTATCCCAGCTGACATTGGGCAAGAGGCAGGGTACACCCTGGACAGGTCGCCAGACTATCGCAGGACACATAGAGACAGACAACCATTCACGCTCACATTCACATCTACGGACAATTTGAGAGTCACCAATTAACCTGCATGTATTTGGACTGTGGGAGGAAGCTGGAGTACCCAGAGAAAACCCACGCTGACACAGGGAGAACATGCAAACTCCGCACAGAAGGGTTCCCACACCCGGGATCAAACCAGGGACCCTCTTGCTGTGAGGTGACAGTGCTAACCACCACAACACCGTGCCACCATCCCTGAACATGGCTGTGCAAAAGCAAACTTGCAAGCAGTCTTGTGATTTGATAATTTTGTGACTGTGGATGAATCTTCCTTGCTCCACACTCTGGGCATTGAACATCCTTTTTGTCCGTAGGAAGTCTGTCAAACCTAAAAGTGTCCTAGCTTGTTACTGTTGCTAAGATTGGCCATATCAAACTACAAACATTATGGGGCGTTGGTGGCTTAGTGGTGGAGCAGGCGCCCCACGTACAGGGCTGTTGCCGCAGCAGCCTGGGTTCAGCTCCAGTCTGTGGCCCTTTGCTGCATGCCACTCCCTCTCTCTCTCCCCCTTTCATGCTTGTCTGTCCTGTCAAATAAAGGCTAAAAATGCCCCAAAAAGAATCTTTAAAAAAAAAAAAAAACTACAAACATTATTGAGCATAAATAAACAAGTTTTAACCATAAAAATGAAATTACATTTTGTGTCTGGATCAGCTGTAGACTGACTTGACATTGATTGTTGCCATCTTGTTGTTACATAGATTAGTGTATTGTGGACTTACTACCACTAGATGGCTGATAAAAATGTCTGCAAATACGGACAACAGGTGTAAATTAAGCAGATTAAAGTTTAAGGAGTAGGAAACTTGAAATGTGATGTCCTCTTTGGGATTGCGGAAAGTTTAAACTCCCCAGTCAATCAAGCTTTTCCTCAAGACTAATACAAGTGTCCCAGGTTATAAAGTGACCTGTCCCAGTTTATCAAATTCATGCTTTTTTTTTTTTTGGACAAAGAGCACAAATAGTGGCATGTCTTCTCTGGGTATGAAATTTTCTCTCTTTGTTCTGGTGTGGTGATTTCAGATTGATCTAATTATATCAGAATAAGCCGCAGACCCGAATCAAAATCAGCTTTATGTGTGTACATACATAGACCGGTGAAAAATTCTGTGTAACAACATATCTTTTCCAGATGAGGATCTTCTGCTACAGCATGGACTTCACCCATAATGAGTGACCTATTGATTACGTTGACAAAGATCCAGCACTGTATCAACAAAACATTTCAACAAGACCTGGACTCTGTTTGCTGGATCAGGTGTAATGCTGTGCAAAGTCAAAACAAAATTCAGGCCCATTTACTGAATCACTTGACATACCTCAGTATCTTGATTAAACTTTAAACTAAAATAAATTCAAATGTATATTCTCTGTGTTCACTCCCTATCCTCTATCAACAATTCTTTAAGTGTTTGCAAATACTGGGAATACCTGGACTTATTGTTACCAATACAGTTTGTTTCAACTGCTTTAATACAATCTCAAAACATCAGATACAATCATCATGTTCATTTATTCTATTTATTCTTTCTTTTTGGTTCAAAGGGTTCTGTGAAATAACTCAAAACATTAAAGCAATGTTTCAAAATTAAATGAATTTATCATTAAGTTAAACACTGCCACTAAAATGAAATTTCCATTTCTTGTTGCTTAAACAGAGATGACAAAAGTGTAAGGAATTGTGTCAATTGTGCATTTGCTGAAACTGATTTTCTGTATTTCCCTCGTCAATGAGACTTGAATCATTCAATGGTAAAATCAGATTTTCTCTCTAGTCAAAGGTCCTTGCCTTCGCCTGCCAACTAGCCTGCACTGCAGCAACACGTTCTCATCCCAAGTTGTCACATACTGCCGCTTTGTCAGTGACCTTTCTTGCTGACATATTACGCACTAGGTATCCCTCTGCATTGACATTCCAGGACATGCCATTAATGCTGGATGTCAAAAAAAGCATATGGTTGGGTTTAGAACAAAACATTTTAGTTCGGCATTTGAGGAGTGAACACCAGCGGCATATCATTACAGCGCGCAAGGTCAAGTTTGGGCGCATTACATGGGGACTCCATCAACTGCTGTGATGGTCACAGCCAGACATGATAATGTTCTCCTAATCCACACTTTAAACTCATTAGTTTGTTATCTATACAGGCTACTTTCATTTATGGTCAACAATACCTAATCAATTCACATCTCACAGTTGGTTTGATTTAGAATCTGTTTATTTGCTTTTAACCTTATATTGTTTAAGTGTACACATGCTAACATTGTGAGGTCACACACTGATATTAATCGTCTGTTTCTTTGTCTTTAAGTCACCGTGGTTGTAAGGGCAGGTCCCTTCCTGTGGAGCAAAAGGCATGGTTAAGTGCTGAGGACATTTAAATCCTGGAGCCAATTCATTGGACCAAACCATGTGCTGCCATGTCATGGGGGGTTTGGTTAGTTTTGCTATGTATTTGCATGTATTTGCTGTCCATTTAGGTTAGCCCTGGTGTATTATACTATACCTGCTCCGTCATTTTGACAAGTCAGTTTGTTCAGTTAACACCTTGTTCAGTTATTATATTGAGTAAAGCTATGTTATGTTGACCTCTTTTATAGACCTACTGTAGTTGTTCACTTCTTGGTTTGTAACTTTTCATGCATTTTCCTGGTAAATAAAAAGCCACGATTTTGTGAACAACTCCTGTGACCTTGTTGCCTCACTGCTTGGTCCCTAACAGCCGTGTACCATAACGCCACGACAGGTGCCGTCCAGCCGACCCGCAGTGTATCATAAAAATGCAAAAGGTTATGTCCAGCTGCAATACATACTGATGCNCCAAACCATGTGCTGCCATGTCATGGGGGGTTTGGTTAGTTTTGCTATGTATTTGCATGTATTTGCTGTCCATTTAGGTTAGCCCTGGTGTATTATACTATACCTGCTCCGTCATTTTGACAAGTCAGTTTGTTCAGTTAACACCTTGTTCAGTTATTATATTGAGTAAAGCTATGTTATGTTGACCTCTTTTATAGACCTAGTTGTTCACTTCTTGGTTTGTAACTTTTCATGCATTTTCCTGGTAAATAAAAAGCCACGATTTTGTGAACAACTCCTGTGACCTTGTTGCCTCACTGCTTGGTCCCTAACAGCCGTGTACCATAACGCCACGACAGGTGCCGTCCAGCCGACCCGCAGTGTATCATAAAAATGCAAAAGGTTATGTCCAGCTGCAATACATACTGATGCCATCCACCTACGTATCATACTGTTGAGAAAGGTGTCTTTTGGCATCAGGTGTCTGACGCCAAAATCATTGACAAAGCTGCGGTATTTGACGACTTCAGAATGAGAACAGGCTGACTGCAGCCGACTCCAAAGCTGAATTCAGCGAGTGATGGGCCCACGGGGTAGTGGCTTCATGTAGATTGTTTGGGCTGTTCCAGGCCAGGCCCCGTGGGTCAAGGCAAGGCCCAGTTTCCTTCCAGCCTTTAACTTTTCCTTATTTCGCCTATTAATACGTGGTCTGTGAATCACTCTTAGTATCTCTCTTTCTAAATTTCCCCATAATTATTTGTAATAGTCTTTATAACAATGTCAAAAAGGGCAGGAAAAAGAATTCCAAGAATTCTGTTTTAGATTTTAAAAGGTATATTAAACAGCCAGTTCATGAAATTTGACATTTTAAAATCATGTGGATTAATGTGGTCTTCCAGTGCTAACCTCCAGTAGAACTTTTCCTGTTATTGACAATTTTCTCAAACCAGTCCGACAAAAAAGCTGGCAACCATTTATCAGTATGAAACAGGACTGTTGGCGAGTGTTGGTGTTGCTTTTTGTGGTTGTCACTGGGATGAGGAAATCAACTCATCAGTCTGTAAACTCTCCTTCTGCTGATACTGCTAGCTAGCCATGTCAAGGTTTTCGAATGTGATCATTAGTAAACATCAAGGTGAAGTTGGGCACCAGCCAAACCAGCATCCTGCGAGTCATTGTTCAGCCGTTGGATAATAAACTGGATGACCTCCATGTCTGTATTAGTTTCCAACATGATATTAGAAACTGTAATAATAACTGACTCTTTTTCTATATGCCGATATGACGAAGCAGAGGACCCTAGCAAGAGAAGAAGAGGAGTAGTGTGCTATATGGTGAATAAGGACTGGTGTGACAGTGGAATGTGAAGCGCTGTCCTGTTCCTGGTTGCCCTGCAACACAAGGGGAATAAACACTCCATATCACTGCTATACACAGTTCAGAGGTGGCTACAGAGCAGAGTCGCTGCCTGTGTGCTGCCTGTGTTCAGAGGGAGCGACCATGTGGCGATCTTTTTCAGGTCAAGATATGTAAACTAACCACCATGCAAGAGGCAAATAAAGACTAAATTACAATGCACAGGTTGAAGGAGT